TGTCTTGGCAGAAGTACAGCCAGAATACTCCTTAGAAGCCAGACAGCGAGACTTTTTCTTAGTAACTTTGGATGTGTTATGGAAAAATCAGTCCCTGGAGAAAGATATCATGCTTGATTAAGTGAAGGGTCCGTGAAAAAGAGGAAGGCCCTAAAGAAGATAGATTGACACAGTGGCTGCAATAATGGGCTCAACCCTACATAGAAACAACTGTGAGGATGGTGCGGGACCAGGCAGTGGTAATTTCTGTTGTACATACGGGTGGCTATGAGTCAGAACACCTCGCTGGCACCTAACAACAAGAGCTGTGGAGATATATCTCTCGTCTTTTCTTGCCTAGGTCTACCACACAAAATATCTGTACTATACAACTGCTGCAGTGGATGAAGAAGAAGGGGACTGTACAACCAGCCTTCTCAACTCCTAACAGCATCAATCCCGAAGGGATCTGCAGGCCAGTGTCTAGCCATAGTGCACTGAGGAGATTCACATACAATAGCTTCTACAGGCTGCTATTTGCCATGGATTCATGATTAATACTCAAATCCTACTATCATAGTTCAGTGCAGTGACTTACTATAGATGGCTCTCCTATCCATAGTCTTTGTAACTCCCACACACAAAAGAGTTTTTGTCCTAGAGTGATTAACTTTTCAGCCTAGGAGCGGAGGTCCCTGGAACCATCAAGGGAGAAGAGCGGAGAACGGGACCCTACCCAGAGAAGCCTGAGATGGAGACAGAGACGATGATGTGGAGAGATGGAGCTGTTGGGGATTTTAGACCCAGAGAGGGAGAGGGGCTGTGTGCTGATGACCAGGGGCAGGCTTGTAGTGTATACCCTTTGGTTGGTTGATGATGCATGGAGGGGATTGTAACCATAGCAATGAAACGATATACAATAGGATGAATGTAAAACTAATGTTCTCCCATGTAAACTATCACATAATTCACAATAAAACACTAAACAAATTTTTTTCATCTTAATAGGTTTAAGGTAAGAAAAGATGGGAGAAGATGCTGAAAGGATGATACGATTCAGTTGTGCTAGTTAACAGAGTTAACTAATGTGGGTTCAAAATGAGCCGTCTCAGAAGCAGGAAGAGGGATCAAAAAGAAAGAACAATCAAAAAGAAAGAACCTGGAGTTGGAATAAGTCCTTTGGACCCCAAGGTCTCTGAGCATTGAACCTCCTTGACCCAGGGACAGAAAGCTGTGGCACCAGAGGAGTGGCAGAGGAGCAGCAGCAGCAGAACCAAGAGCCAGAGCCTGAGGCAGAACTGTGGGCTTCCCAGCCCACGGGGCAAGACAAGATGCTGGCAGAATAGGGTGACTCCAGGCACTAACTGGGCGGCCAGGTTTGCTGACCCATGGAGCTAGAACCGAGTGCCTTTAGGCTGAGGCTTATGGGGACATGGTGTGCCATGTGGGCATTTATCAACAACCCTAAAAGTGCCTTGTAATATTGGCCAGGCAGAGAGGCCTGCCTATGGGCAGGACTGAGGGAAGGCTGTCCTGAAGTGGAACAACTATGGCCTGAGCATTTCTTACCCTGAATTTATAGCCTGTTAACTTCCCTAATAAAACTCCTAACTGTGACTATGATGTCCCAGTTCTGTGTGGCTACTGTAATGAATTACCAAACCCAGCTGAGCAGAGAGTGCTGTGGGAGAGATGGCTGGTTCACTGTGAGTTGACAGGCTGTCAAAGCTTGATTTTCCAATAGAAAGGATTCTTTTCTCTCAACTCTGCAAGCTCTGGCGCTATAGTGTTGATTGCTAAAGTTTCCAAAGCTTCCCATTCATCCTAGCAGGCAGCTAAAGCAAGAGTAAGACTGTCATCAGTATCAGTATCAGTTATAGCACACCAGAATCATCCTCCCATTTGATTATGAGATTCATTTATACTCTTCAAAGATTAACATGGCAAATTAGCAAATGCATAGAAAGTTTCCCTTTGGAATGTTTTACACACTCTGAGACTCACTTTTTCTGCTTTTGCCTTTCTCAGCTTTCTAAGAGCTAGATCAGCTGATCGCACCCCCTTCACACTCTCCCTTTAGGTTTAGCCTTTGTCTTTTGCCTGAGTCAATCCAGACTTGATTGGCTCAGAAAGCAGAAAGAACTTCTATAATTCCCTACCCTGGAGCAGGACAACTAAGAGTACAAGTCCAATTCCCCAGTGTACTTCAGTTCTCAGGCCTGGCCTTCCAGCTTTGGTCCTTATGCCAACTTCTAGCCTGGTGATTACTAAACTGTTACCCATGCCCAATCCTCCACCTGCTTGACACACACATGACTTCTATTTATATAGAAAAAGAGAACACAGAAGAATTATGAACATAACCACTCTAAGTTTTTACTAATTTCAATAATGCTGAACTAAAGAAGAGTTAACACACAATTTTTACAGGAAAAAATAATCTGGACAAAATCTGATACTTTTACCAGAATCTGGCTAAGCCTTTTTCCTCTCACCTATCCTGGCTGAGTCCTGGTGTGGCGCTGTGGGCTAATGCGTAGAGTGCAAAGTCATTTGAACTGCAAGGTCGGTGGTTCAAGCTCCTTGGAAACCCTATAAAGGGTCGCTATGGGTCGGAACTGACTCGGCAGCACTTAACAACAACAACAGTGCTTATGAAAAGACGCTGGTGGGCTTAAACATCCAACCTTTGGATTAGAAGCTGAGCAGTGTCACCAAGGAGCCCTGATTGGAACCAACTCATAGCGACCCTGTACAGGGTTTCCGAGGCTGTAAATCTTTACGGGAGCAGAAAGCCTCATCTTTCTCCCGTGGAACAGCTGGTAGTTTCGAACTACTGACCTTGCGGTTCACAGCCCCATTCATAACCACTACGTAGCAGGGATAAATTAGATCCATGGTGGTGTTGTTGTTGTTGTTAAGTACCAGTATCATGGAGTTGGTTCCGACTCATAGTGACTCTGCACAGGGTTTCTGAGGCTGTAAATCTTTGATGGGAGCAGAAAGCCTCATCTTTCTCCCACGGAACGGCTAGAAGCTTCTTCGAACTGCTGACCTTGAGGTTAGCAGCCCGATTCGTAACCACTATGCTACTAGAGCTCCTTAAATGAGATCCACAACCAGAGACAATTCCCAAACCTCATTATGGCTTTTTCATTTCAAATTCTTCCCTATAAATTTCAGAGCTGTATCATATATTGTGACCAATTTGGTTTACTATTATTTTCTTTCCTTACTGGTTGGTGGCAGTTATAAAAGAAGTAACTATTTTTATGGTATGTGAATGATAAATGTCTCAACTGAAAAAAGAAAAAAATCTAGTGGCCAAATTCTGAGCCCAAACCAACCCCACTGCCATCGAGTCCATTCCAACTCATAGCAACCCTATATAGGATTTCCAAGACTGTAAATCTTTGCAGCCTCATCCTTCTCCCTCGGAATGGCTGGTGGGGTTGAACCAAGTGTTGTTGTTGTTGTTGTTAAGTGCCGTTGAGTCTGTTCTGACCCACAGCAACCCTGTTTAGGGTTTCCTAGGAGTGGCTGATAAGCTTGAACCGCCGACCTTGCGGTTCAAACCAAGTAGCTGGAGATAAAGAGAGGACAAGCAAAGAATCTTACTCATTGGCAGCAGAGCAACAATTAGCTGTGTGCTGGAGGCTTGGAAGCAGGCTTGCAGAATGGGCCCTGGGTTTAAAAGATTACATATTTCTGAGTGTTTTTGTGTACAGCAAAAAAAAGAAGAGAAACAAATATTGTTAAATGATGATGCATGGAAGGGATTTTAATCATTGCAATGAAACAAAGTAAGATAGGATGAGTGCAAAACCGATGTTCTCCCATGTAAACTAGTGCAAAACCAATGTTCTCCCATGTAAACTATCACTCAATTCACAATAAAAGTATTAAAACAAAGTAGCTCCATTCTTCTTCAGTCTTCCTTATTCATTGTACAGCTTTCAGATTCATAAGATGAATGAAAATACCCTGCCTGGTACACATTAAGGCCTCAACAGATTATTTACCTTATCACGTGTTTAAGTGCAGGAGACAGAGCTAAACATTCAATAACTTTGATTCATTATTTTGGGGCTTGAAACTGAAAATGAGAACACTAAAAGGAAACTAGCAGGTGAAATACTAAAATTAGAGTCTTCCCTTGGTAGACACCCGTGGGTTTTTTTGCATGGTGTTTCTTGCATGCCATGGGAAAGATAGAATGGCCTTCAATACTTAATGGAATTGTGAATCATCCTCAGTGAAACACATGATCTTATATTCAATCTCTGAAACCACAGTTTTATTTGGTATCAGAGAAAAAATTATTTTTCTGCTCAGAATCATCAAATAGCTTGTTATTTTTCCCTTTGTGTTTTAATGGTTGTTTATGGTCTCCTGAACAAAAGCCAACCACACAGCCAAAATATTCTAGGCCCTGAACAATTTTATACTTATCTATGTTTCTATCTTTGTCTTGCACAAACCCAATATTCTGGCCAAACTACAGAACATTCTAACTAGGCTATTCTGAAAGCACTAATGTACTGTTTTGAATAGTAGTTAATTTGGTACATCTCTTATCTAAGCTGGAGGCTATTAGAGGCCAGGAACCCTACCTTAGACATCCATATATTTCCCCAGCATGTACTAAGCACCTAATTGCTATTTGCTAAATAAATGGGTTACCGTACCCTTCTACTCATTACATTTATTTCCTATCATAGGAACCTTTGATGTCCTTTTTCATTTTCCAGAGCGATTTTCTTCATTCATCTGACAGTCTCCTTTTCAAAGTTCATGATTCAATGATTCAGAGAATAATAATTACAGTTCTCTAAAAAGTCGCACATCTGATCTCATACTGAGGTTTCCGATTTTTTTTATTTCAATATACATCTGCTAGAAGGAATGTGTTTTGTTTTGGTTTTTGGTGGGGAGCCTAGGGCTGATTTGAAACTAAATATTGTTTCTAGACAGGTTATTTATGGCAATATCCTTAAGTTAATGAGATAGCTATTTCCTACCTTCATGGTAACCGGGATGGTGCTATTTACATTTGCTTTATGCAACCAGCCTTGTTTTATCACACCACCCTTCTGAGAACATAAAGACGATGAGTCCTGAAACAGAATTAAAACCATCAGTAAAACAACAGCCAGCCAGTCATTTAATCAGTGAAGCATTTAAGTGACACAGTACTAGGTCTTTCCCCATCTCCCAATTAAAGCACAAAGTCCCCTTCTCCTACAACAATACCTGTCGACTACACAATGCAAGGTTCTGTGTGGTGCACACAGTAGGCACTCACAAGTCATTGAATCATCTTGGATCTTTTCTGGGACAGTCTCCTGCCTTATGTAAACAGTCAAACGACACTGGGAAATGTCACAGGAATCTGGACCATCTGTCCCAAGAGGGATCAATCAGGCAACAGAATCCACATGAATCACAGCACATGCCCAAATGCAGGGAAAGCAATTCCACAAGCTCATCCCACAGGTTGGGGGAGAGGGTACATGTTTGTATCAAAATCACCACTCATTTCACTAGACTGTTCCTAAATCCCATTTGGAAATGCAACATTAAAAAACAACAACTACTTTAAACATTCTGTTTGAAAGCTGGCCACAGATATTAGTAAATAACTGAAACCACTTATATTCCACTCATCTTTTCTCAAGGAATTCCCTTTGGGATCTCTCTCACAGAAGTGACCTTGAAGAAACCAGTGCAGTTGGCCCAGAGCCTTACCTCATCTTTCTCACAGTCTTCATCAATCTCAAATACATGATTGGGAATCTTTTCTGGTCTCAGAGATTTGCTGAAAATGCAAAAGAATTGTCTTAGACACTGAACAGAACAGAGGAACAAAACAAAGCAAGATGAGTGGACCTGAATCTTTCACATCCACAAGAAAACGTCAAGACATAAGAGAGAGAAATCATTTTCTCCTTTTCAGCTACAGATTTTCCTCTCTGATTAATTTTACTGCCCACCCTGCTACCTTCCCACATGTGTGGTGGTGGTGTGCCATGGAGTTGATTCCAACTCAGCGACCCTGTATAAGATTTCCACAGCTGCAAATCTTTAAGGGAGCAGAAAGCCTCATCTTTCTCTGACAGAGCAGCTGGTAGTTTCAAACTGCTAACCTTGAGGTTAGCAGCCAGCAGCAAAGAAAAAAGTAAAACCATGTAAACCCATGCCTAGTCAGGGAGAACAGCAGTTGAATTGGAATGTGGGCCAGACCTGATATCTTTTACCAGGTCAAAAAGCAAAATAAGCAACAAAGATGTCCTTCAATAGGTGAAAGGATAAAAAGAAGTATGGTACATAAGTACAATGCCTTTTTATTCAATAACAAGAAACAAGATATCAAAATATAGAAAGGCATGGATGAGTCTGAAATGCAAACTGCTAAGTGCAAGAAATGGAGTCCTGGTGTGGCGCTGTGGGATAAAGCGCTGGACCATAAAGTCTGTTTGAACCACAAGGTCGGTGGTTCAAACTCACCAGCTGCTACTTGGCAACCCTATACAGGTCACTGTGAGTCAGAACTGACTCAATGGCACTTGACAACAACAACAAGTGAAAGAAAGGAATGTCCTGATGTGGTGCTATAGGATAAGCACTGGACTGTTAACCACAAAGTCATCGGTTCAAATCCTTCAGTGGCTCCTCGGAAACTCTGTTTACAGGGTTGCTCTGAGTCAGAAGTGACTCAATAACACTTAACAATAACAAGGGAGAGAAAGGAGCCCTGGTGGTGCTGTGAGTCAGGTGATGACCTGCTAACCAAAAGGTTGGTGGTACATACAAACCCACCAGTTGCTCTGCGGCACTCTACTTCTGTCAAGATTTACCGCCTCTCGAAATCTTTATGGAGCAGTTCGACTTTGTCCTATAGAGCCACTATGAGGAAGAATAGACTCAACAGCAGTGGATTAAGGGAAAGAAGCCCGTTTGGCTCGAGCTATACACGTTCTGGAAATGCCAAAGCTAGAGAGACAGGAAAAAGTGGTGCCAAGGGTTAAGACGGAAAGAGGATGGATAAACAGATGAAGCACAGGACATGCTTAGGTAAGTGAAACGATTCTGTCTGATACTGTAATGGTGGACACATGACATTATGCATTTGTCAAAACCTGTAGATCAATACCACAGAAAGAGTGAGCCATAATAAAAGGTATGGATTTAATTACTATTAATGTTATCAATTACTGGCTCATCAATTATAACCCATGTATCACAGGACTGCAAGATACTAGTAAAAGAGGAGACTGTGTATGGGGCGGGGGTGAGCAGGAGGTAGACAGGAACACTGTCCTCTCCGAGGCATTGTTCTGTAAGCTTAAAGCTATTAAAAGAAGAAAGTATTTAAAAAAAAAAAAAAAAAGCAACAGGGTATGATTCTGATTCTTCCATTTGCTTGCTGTCTGACCTTGGAATGATCCTTTTAGCTTTTTAGGGCTGTTTACTCCCTTGGGAAAGTACTTTGAAAACTACAAAAAGTTACATGACTGTCTTATTTCTCCAGTATTCTTTCCCAAACATTTTACATATATTACCCTGTGAGGTAGGATTATAGATGAGGAAAAGAAGAGAGGGAAGGCACAAACAGGTTGAGTAACTGGCCCAAGGTCATTCGGCTAGTAAGTGACAAAAATCAAGTCTGGCCCCTAGACTACTCACAGCAGTCCTTTAACCCAGCAGAAAGAAATGATAAAAGCATATCCCCCTTTGTGTCTTTTAAAAAAGCCAAAAGCATGCTAAATCAAAAGCAACAGGAAGTAGCATTTTAAATATTATCAAATCAGTCACCAAAATGAAGACTCAAAACAGGAACTAGATTTAATAAAGAGCATATCTGGTAACTTGATATTGCTAGTACAAAAAAAAGAAAGGAAAAGAAAAGAAAAACGCTGATGAGACAACAAATAATTAAGATGACAAATCTTTTTAACAACAAAAAAGAGCCCTCCAAGCTGATACAAATACCACATGTACATGTAATTATCTCTATACCTCTGGGTGGAGACAGATCATACTACCAGAAACAGGAAGCATTTACCAGTGCTGTGTGCGTAGACACTAAGAACCAATGTGCTAGAGAGGCAATGGCAGATCCTAAAGAATGACTGGCAGGCCATATATTGGTTGTCTGCAGGAGTACTTTGAGGGCCCACCATGCTTGGCAGTTATTGTCCCAGAACTGTCAGTTAACAAGATTAGTTTTCAGCATCCATTCAAAGTTTAAGTGGCAAGTTACAATAAAACATGCTACAATCAGAACGTCTAAAAATTTTCTTCAATGGATAACCAAACTGTGGTGTATATATATACACCATGGAGCTATCTATAGTTAGCCACACACAAAATGAAATCCTAATACATGTGACATAACATGGATGAACCCTGGAAACATCATGCTGAGTTAAATAAGTCAGACTCTAAAGGACACATAGTAGATTATCCAATTTAACATGAGACATTTAGGGCAGGCAAATGTACAGAGACCAATGTTTATGAGTGGTCAACAAGAGTAGTAGGAAGGGGGAAAGAGAGAATCAGATTAAGCAGGCACTGATGTGTGCGCATTGGTTGTTCAAATGATTATATATTCCTGAGTGTTTTTGTGTACATCCAAAAAACAGAAAACAGAGGGAACAGAAGCAAATACTATTCCACCCCCCACCCACCCCAGAAGCAAATACTACTGAATGATGATTCATGATGTACGGGATTGCAATCATTGCAATTAAACGAAATAGGTTTAGTGTAAAACCAATGTTCTCCCATGTAAACTATCACTCAATTCACAATAAAAACTTTAAGAAATTAATTTTTTTCCCCAAGCAATGTCCTAGGGTCAAATTGAGCTAAATACTTTCTGACTTTTTAGTCAACACCACTGGAAAATGCTTACTGTATTATCCAGAATTAAAGAAAGATTATTTTATGATCAATGTAGATGCACCAGATCCAAAAATGTGAGCTTGGGCATTTTGGAAAGAATTTTAATGAGCAATGTTAAAACATACTCGATTAACCAAAATACTCCATTTACCAAACATGCTGGTTATTTGAGGTTTTATTTTATTATAAACTATAACAGAGAGGTTTAAAAAAAGTTTAATAGTTCTTCTATTTGACTATTTTCCTTGAATTCTATTCTTACCATGGCAACATTCGAAAGTCCCCGGAGAAGTCTTCATATTTGTAGTTTAGTACATGCCAATCTGTGCTGTAGGTTTTAATACACTAAAAGAAAATAAGGATCTTTAATTTCCAATATAGGGAAAATACACATATACTTACATTTTAAAAGTCTGGTAATAAGCTGACAATTTTTAAAAAATCATTTGAGAAATTTTGGTATTGGGTTCTTCCCTTAAGAAACAACTGGACTTTCAAATTCATGTGCACTTTTGAAAACTGATTTTAATATCCTGAGAGTATTCCAATCCTAAAGAAAAAGACTAAGAGCAAACTCAGGAAAATATTTAAATTGTAACTTCTATATCACATTATGTAGATTTGTTACATAGATCAGTTAAATTATAGTGGTTTTATTTTCCATGTACACTAAAGGAAAAATATTTTAAACGTCCGATTAATATTCCGTAGCCTTTGGGCATCTTACCTCTTTAACAAACAGACTCTGGGCTCTTTTCTCAGCATCTTCTGGTACTGTGGACTGCACTGTTCTACGCTGTCGACTTATCATTGAGATCTAGAAGACAAATAACACTTTTGCTCTAAGAACTGATTTGGAAAATGAATTTCTTTTCTTGAAAGAAGTGCTTGTGAACTCACAGAGAGATCTTCCATTGGAAACATAAGTAGGTCTCGGAGAGGGTCACTGAAAATCTGGGTTCTTCTCTGGATGACAACATTCTCATAGTCCAGGGGCTCCACAACTTTGGTCTTTTCCTTTTTAAGAGAGAGAGGAACAAAGGGTACTTGGTCAAAGCCACAACAGATACATTTCTCTCCCCTAAAGATACTATACAGGATTGAAACCATGGCAAGGAAACGATATACGATAGAATGAATGTAAAACTAACATTCTCCCATGTAAACTATCACATAATTCACAATAAAACATTAAAAAAAAAAAAAAGAAAATATACAGGGTCGCTATGGGTTGGAATCAACTCGACGGCACGTAACAACAACAACAAAAATACTTTGGAGTCCTGGCGTGGCACTGTGGGTTACTGTGCTAGACTGCAAAGTTGTTTGAACTGCAAGGTTGGCAGTTCAAGCTCACCAGTAGCTCCTTGGAAACCCTATATGTGGTTGCTGTGGGTTGGAACCCACTCGATGGCACTTAACAACACCAACAACAAAGATATTTTGGAGTCCTGGTGTGGCACTGTGGGCTAATATATCAGACTGCAAAGTTGTTTCAATTGCAAAAGGTCGGTGGTTCAAACTCACCAGCTGCTCCTTGAAAACTCTATACAGGGTCGCTGTGGGTTGGAATCAACTCGACAGCACTTAACAACAATAAAGATACATTGGAGTCCTGGTGTGGCGCTGTGAGCTAATACACTGGACTGTAAAGTGGCTTGCACCACAAGGTCAGTGGTTCAAGCTCACCAGCCACTCTTTGGAAACCTTATACAGGGTCACTATGGGTCGGAATTGACTCAGCGGCACTTAACAACAACAACAAGAGAAAGTACTATTAATGATAAGCGCTTAAATAAAGCAGATTCACTAGAGAGATATTCTCCATACTTAGATGCACACACCAAACACATACACACACACAAAACAGTCTTGGCTAAAGACAGGAATTCTGGAAATACAGCATTGCATTCAGCTTATTTGTGTGTCTTTAAAATGTCAAGTACGAGTGATCTGTTTAGAAATCTGTCCACTGAAATTTCCTGATTATGTACTACTCATTGGGTAACTGACAGAGAGAAAAGGAGTCAATATGCACATGCTATTCTGTAGCAGGTACAGTGTCTAAAGACTGTGTCAAAGTCCAACATAGTTGGGGCTACCATGAGTAATGGAGACAGATGTGTGAGTCAGTGGGTAGAGCATGAAAGGGTGAGGCTCTAGGGGGACAAAGTCAGTAGATCCCTGATGGGCATCCAGACAACCTAACCATTCACAGTAGGGTCCCAGCCTGGGGCTAAGGATGCAAGGGGCAGGGTCAGTGACTCTGAGGCATTCAGTATTGGACTTCTTAATAACAGTAATAACACTGACTGCACCCTTTCTTTATTGTAGGCACTGTATTAAGTGCTTTCTGTACAATTTCTTTGGAAATATTCATAATAACCCAATGAAATCGGTTAGTCATCCTCATTTTACAGTTGAGGAAATAAGACTCAGACAGGTTAAGTAAATTGCCTGCCCTCAGAGTTGGCATTCAAACCTGTACTAGAAGATTCTGTTCTTTCCACACTACACGACCTTTCATTCTGGCAGAAGTGCATGAGGATACTAATGTGCAAGATACAGAACTTAGACTAGGAACCCACCAATTACTTCCCTGCCAGTTTTCCTCCTTTGAACTTACTATGATCTGATATGCTGTGAATTTTACCATTGTATTTGAAGGCAGAGATTTATTTTCAACGCACTCACTGCTGTAACCTAGTGCCTAGAACATGGTAGACATACAATCATTAATTGCTACAGGAACTTTGAGACTTTCCGATTAAATTGGAGCCATGTCTAAACACACTATTCTAAACCAAGTTAGGTATATATTGTTATAGTTGCTAAGTCCATCAAGTCGGTTGCAACTCACAATGACCCTGAATAGGGTTTCCGAGGAGCAGCTGGTGAGTTTGAACCACCATCTTTGCAGTCAGTAGTCCAGTGCTTATCATACAGTGCCACACCAAGACTATAGGTATATATTGGTGATTTCAAATACATTTTTTAACTTAGTATTTCTTAATAGCTATCATAAAAGACAAGTAAACAAAAAGTCAAATTCATAAAAACATAAAAATAGAATTAGGGTTGTGAGCTATTTCCAACCACATTCACCAAACTCCTGTCCATCTGGATTGAGACTTGGTTGGCCAGCAGTATGGCAACACCTGGGGGCTCCTGGACCCAGAGGACTAGAGTAGAGTGAAGCGTCCAGCTGATAGGAAGTGAGGGGAGATGTACAAGAACACCCATACTTGCAGATAGCACCCATTTGACCTGGCTTCAATGGATGGATGAATAGAACTCGACTAAAGGAAGAAAGAAGAGGAAAAGTAACAAGAGTAATCTACCACAATTTGATGAACTTTACCTAAACTTATGGATGTAGTAGCTCAAAAGAGGGAACAAATTGTTACAGTGAGGATCATTCCCACCCCCTCGGTACACAGGGTTGACAGGGATGGGCAACTT